GTGTTGAAAATCTGCAATGTCCTTAAAATTAGTTGTCAGTCGTCAGAATCGAATCTGGAACGCGTCGGTGATAATTGTATGCGTTAACCACTCGTAAGTCACAGGCCCTGATTGATAAGGAGGAAAATTAGAGTACATAAGTTCCGCGAGGCGCTTTCTTCATGCCCCTTTGTTTCGGAATAACCTATAGTTTGGGTCGATTTAATACAAAATTGTGTTGACCAACCAAGCCTTTTGCGTTGATCTGACACAAAAAAAGTAACACAGAGTAACACTGAACCCGGAAATTTCTAACTATGTATGGAAGAAAAAAATCGAACATTTTCGATTTTTGTATCATTGGCTCAAAATAACACCAGAAATTTTGATAAGGAGATCAGGTGGGAGGAGCTCTCAAAGTGAGGGAGATCTACGTATTGTACCAATTTGTTTCTGTGTGCTTTTTTTACTTACTTATTTTGTCAGACTCTAATTTTTCGTAAACCACATTTTTTATGTAAAATGTCCCTTTTCTCAGCATATACTGGGCTTTTTTTGAATTTTTTTTGTTTGTTTGTTTGACTCCAGTTAGGCTTCTCTGCATTTGAACACGGGATTTTTTTTAAAAAAAATTGTGAATTCCAAAATTTTTATGGGTTATCAAAGTGAACATTTTCTGTAAAATTTGAACCAAAATTTAAAAAAGGCGAATTTTAAGTTCGAATTTCAGGAAAACCTCGTGTTGACTTAATCTGGAGACTCTGTGATGTCTAAAAAAAAAAGCTTTTGAAAAAATACACAATAGATTCTGAGAAAAGGGACATCAAAGTTGACTGAATACCATGGGGCAGCATAGGCCCAGTGGCGAGACGTGAATGATCGATTATCGCGATATTTTCCCATTTGAAGCTGTGGTAAAGAATCGATTATTAGGGTGTTCGTCGCGAAAAATCTGTTTATCGATTCTTTTCCATAGGTTTAAATGGCAGATCAATCTATAAATCGCAAAGCACGCCACCGTGCGTGGCGACCCTTTACCGTGTCACTGAGGTAACTTTCCAGGAAGAGTACAGACAGATGGGTTCGTGGAGGCCTTAGGGTCCAAAAGGGCAGCTACTTTCCTCACACGAGGGATCTGAAATAGACGTTGCCAGCTTTCACATTCAGATCGGAATCTTAGCAGATGACCGGTTTTGGGGCACGTGAAAATTATATCCCATTGAGTAAAACCCTAGGTTGCTGCTAAATTTTCATTTGGCATAATGGATAGTATTCGGTAGTGTTCGATGTATCGTTTGGTTCATATCAAAAAAACATAACCCTAAACACAAATTGTACGACTTGAGTTAGAAAAGGTGAAAAAGACGAAATTCCTAACAATTTCACTTTTAATTGTCATACTTATACGAATCAAAAATCTATCACAGGAACCCGGTCCCACAGATTACTCGATTAACTTTTGAGGCTTTGTTTACATGTTGAACCTATATATCGATATCACCACAATCTCAGCGACAGCACGCCTGTTTGATGCATCGAATACGACCCCATAAAGCTTTTTTCTCAAATAACCATGGAAAACGTTCAAGAAGCTTTTGTTGTGACGATAAACCGGGACAAAAATCTTGTCGGCCAGTTTACGGTTGGCTGAAAGTTGCGGCAAGCTCTGTTATCCGATCCGCACCACTTTTTTATCAATGGTGTGCTCTATTGAGGAACTAATGATGGCTCGATCCTGTTGTAAAAAAGTTCAACTTGCGTAAAGCCTAAATGGACCGCGTTTAACAGAAAGGAACCAAGCCACGTTTGCTGTTGCAAAATTTATTTCTGCAGCTTGATTTGTTAAGGAGAACTTTTGTGCAGATTCTTTTGAAAATTTTAAGAATTTAGCCTGGCACTATAAAGAAAATTCACTGGAATTTGCATGGAAATGCACACAATTGTTTTCATGTAAAACATGAAATTGCCTAATTAAATTTAGCAATAGCTGATGTGGCTTGGTTCCTTTCTGTTTAACGCGGTCCAAATTTAGAATATAATTTGACCGTTTTACGGTCAAATTCAGAGGTTGCAAGTTGGACCATGGACCAACAAGATTCGGGCCTAGATTTTATCTAGTGCAGGAGGGATGTCAATGATCATAATAAATCTGAGTTGACTTGATTTCAGCGAGCAGCGCTAACTGGGACAGAGGCTGTGAAAGAGTCAATGTCAGTAGGTGCTTCGGTAGTTAATGGAGACGAGACACATTAAAGAAAAGATGATCTTAATGTGAGAGTCGTAAGCACAGGCTTTATAGATCCACCGTTCGGGCTCCAGGTGCTGTTCAAACTTTACAGCAGCGAACCTAACACTAATTGACGGCGTTTGAGTCCAGAGCGTAAACAGCAGGTCTATAACCACTAACCACGGCTCGTCTGATAGCCGAGTTTATTCTAATTGTAGACTGATTCTTGTAACACCAAAATATGACACAGCTCCTCATCAAAATTTGACACGAAATTCGATGGGCGCAATGGAATCTTCGCAAATCGTGCAGTTTTTAGGGGAATAGGCCCCTCCAGGATATTCTGAATTATAAGTATATAATTTATAAGTATAGGCCAAGTTGGTGATCACCAAACACAGCGTTTACTCGTCAAGTTACATTCGTAAGGTTTTACTAAACTCTACAGCCTGCAGGCAGATTGTTGAAATTGATAGACAAAGAAGACATAGGTAGTATGGAGCTATCCTATTGGTTGAAATATGTAGTTCCTATAGACTAAGGGGGTAAATGAAGAACTAACGAAAGGATGTCTCGTGGGTTGCAATACTTGGTCCATTACCTACCTCCTTTGTCCGTTGCAACCACTCGCTTCCATCAATAGGATCCTTATATATCCCTTATGTCTTTTTTTGCCGATAATTTTGTCTATCAATTTCAACAATCAGCCCGCTATCCCTAGGCATAATGCCAATGAACTTGTATGGTTGTTGTTTCGTCAGCAAGTAGATTTTTTCAACCGAAAAATTGCGATATTTTGAAATTAAGTCGCGATTTTTTTTTATCAAAATTATCAATTATCAAAATAGAGTATGCGAAGTTCCCATTTCAAACTTATTAGATGCAAGGATGATCTTTTTATTCTCATTGGCTTTTGTCTCTAAGATTCTAATTTTTTTTCAATACGTATTAAAATGTTTGAGACCGACGTGTATTTAGGGGACAAGCATGGGTTTTCCTGTGCGGCGACAGCGCGACAATAACCACGCGGATAATATTCCAGCAATTCGAAAATACGAGAGGTTGATGTCAACTCTTGAATGCAACTCTTCGTGCTCAATGGATGGTCATGTTGCATACACAAGATATTGCAGGCGCGCTGGCTTTCTTCACGCTATTATGCAGGAGAAAATCTACAGTTAATGAAACTCAAAAACATTTATTAACTCAATTTTTTCGAAAATGTGGGTTGGTTCCTCTCTGATAAACTCGGTCCCATTTGTGCCTCCTCTTTCGCACTGTGTCGATTTGAAGATCTCCTGAAATCCGAAAAAACGGATTTTTACCGGATATCTGGCAACGGAATTGTGGCTGAAAGCGGCGCAGCAGTGGCGGCAGCGGCAGAGGCGCGGGAATCCGGAGCCTCCGCAATGAAAGAAGGGATTATCCGGAGGAAAACTTTATCCTGTGTTTCCAGTTAATGAGAAATCATTCGATTCCGGTCCGATTCGGTTTTATTAACTTTTAGAACGGGGCTCATTTTTATGATGCTCCAAATCTGCTGTGGCGTTCCTCCTCCCCTCTCTCCCCCTCGCCCCTTTCTACCCAGCGCCCCAGCGTCAGAGCCAAATTTTTCACAAATAAAAAGCTCCATTAAACACACCCAAACGAACTTTTTTCGTCATTACTTCCAGCCTTGATGAGAAACGATATTGTATTATACTCATCATTCTGCCCCTCGCTCTTTTGTCCTTTGCTAAATCTATTGTGGGAAACACGATTCGTTCGCATGTGACCTGCGGTCTAGTCGAAATTTTTTGTAGCATGAAATTATTATAACAACCCATCCTATTTTCCTTCCCTCGCTGTGTTTGTAGCTTTATCAGGTGGATAAGGTTTGAATCGAGATAATTTGATGGAAAATACTTTTCATGCATTTTATTATTAGAAGTCAGATACTCTTTTCATTTGATTTGAATCATTCTCTTTCACAATTTTAACGCGCTGATCAAATATTGACACATTTTCATTTGAACCAATTTTTGAGTGGATTCTCGTTTGATTTTTGCAATTTCAAAAATGAGCCCCTCTCAGAGAGGAGATAATTAATTTTATATTTTGAAGTACTCAGGAATATAATTTACGAAGATTCAAGCAATTTAACGTCATATGATCCAACGTTATAAACATAAAAAGCAAGAAGGAAGAACTATTGTAAGATTGTTTACAACTGAAATAGATTTTGCAGTCAGAAAATATTTTTTTTCGTTTTACCCTGTTTTACTCCATAGTTTGATGTTGAAAAATTTTGGTTTTAGGAATTTCCAGACACAAGATTGTATTTCACATTATAAGTGAGCATCGAGGTACTATAATATTCCAACTCTCAACCACACCCTAACATTGGTAGTTTTACACGTTACAGTTTACTCTGTGCGCAAGAAAATGTATGCAATCGCAGGAGTTGCAAATGGCAAAGCCTGGCACGGCGAGTGCAAGTTTCTGCTGAATGCACAAGAGCGTGAAGAAAGCCGGCGCCGCTCTCCTCTTTTTTTTAAAATTTTTTTAAATTTTTTTATGGAAGGGCGGTGAGTGTGGATTTCATTTATCTATCAAAAGGATCGATAACAAAAGAAGGTCTATTAATGAGACAACCGAACAAATCGCGATGTGTTCTCACGCGCAGAACAGTGTCCTTATTGAAATTATTTTTCAAGCGTGAATGTGTAATAGTTCAGAGTTCTTTCGTATGACGAACAATTGTTTACGCTGAGTTCTGGTCTCAATTGCTAATTTATTTTTTGTCTTTTTCCAGGTGATGATTTGAACGTCATCGAGCCGAGGGCTTGCGGACCTGCCTCGTTCTCCAATCGCGTCAAATAAAAGTAAGTCCAAAAGCAGTTTCTTCCATACCTTAATCGTCTTATTTTTACTCTGACTTAAGAGAAATTTGAATCAGTGAGACGAAAACACACCACCTCGAAAAAATTAAAGTGATCAAGACACACACAAAATTGCACAGGCGGTGGAGAAGTTAATCTGAGAAAAATACTTTTGGTGCCGAAAAACACGTCCTTAAGGACACTTTATACGTCCAAGTTGGAACAGATATGCTAACTTCAATGTCTCCCATAAAAATTGCCAATCTTCAATGATAATTGAGCATTTTCAAGCAATCGAGTTAATGTGTTTTCGTTCTCATTGATTCATCTTAAAGCAGGGTCATTTGTTAAAATTATTTCATAATATCAATTTGTCAATGGCTAACGAGCAATACCGTCCATCTACAAACTGAAGCTTTTACACAATGAAGAGAAATTTTCCCCATTTATGTATTTATTTTTAAGGTTAGGTTTGCAATTTTTTTCATAGATCACAGCGTCATTGTAGCGCTCCCCTGCAGAATTGAGAAGAAACTAAAATCATCAGCTTGCGTAATTTATACTGTGGAATTTGGCAAAGTTGCTGACTTGTTTTTGCCGTAAAAGTCCGTTAGGCGGCACTGTTCGTTAGCCCCACGATCTGTCCACTCGCATTGTACTTTGGCTATGGATTTTTGATACACTGGACGTCTGTTGTATAGTGAAGTAATTTTATGAAAAGTGCACTTGCAGTTCTGCTCATTGGGATATTTTTATCTTCAATCAGAGGCCATTAACAAACTTTGTACGCTCTTCATCGTGTGGTGACCTCAATACTGCCGACTTAAGTCATCGATCGATAGTCATCCCTCTCCACTTAGAGGGATACCTCATCTTCGATGCAATCAATCGAGGCACTCTTTTGGAAAAGCGCGTATGTCAACTATGATACCTAATATCGAGAGAGAGAGAGAAACTCGTTTGGAAGTTCAAAATGCTCCACATGTAAAACGCTGCTCTTCTATGACCGTGCACAGAAAAAGGGCCTAGACTCGTTTCTGCCGTGCTAAGGAAGAACGCCGTATGAACACTCGAGAGTTGCCAAATTTCCTTTGGTAAAATGATCATTCTTAAGGAAAGTTATGAATATTTTTCCTTTAAATTTTCAGAATCTTGAGGTAAAATTGTGAACTAAATTATCTGAAAAATTGGAAGGATAATATTCACAAATTTACCAGGAAATTTGCGTTTTATTAAAGGAAATTCGGCAACGCCTGAAGGTTCATACGGTGTTCTTCCTTAGCACGGCAGATTTCCCCTCAGGTGGAGCTGTTGCGGTTGTTCTGACACATATTTTTAGTTGAGCCTCGATTTTTATGCAACGGCACAAGGCGCGATGTTCAAACCAAGCGCTCAGAGTTCTGCACCTCTGTAATAAAATCTGTGGCATATTTCACTCCAATTCATCGTGAAACTTGTTCCAACACGGCTGATGACAGTCACTCACCACACGATCATACTTCAAACGTCGTATCCAGAAACAATGTATTTTAGAGACTGCGTACGTCTATCCTTCCAGTGCAGAGAGAATATACACTGGAAAAAAAAAGTCGCTTGGATCTAGAGTCCAGAGTCATAAAAACATTGACAAGAAAAAATGTACTTGTAAAAAACTTGTACTCAAAAATTTCTTGTTGGCTTTGATTGTTAGCGAGTGCAAAGTCTCTAAAACACACAGACTCTGGTCGCATCAAACCGCGAATAGTCATTAGGTCGACGAGGTGCAGAATATCCCATCACCGCCCTTTTACGTAACTGCCTGTATTAGATGAGCCCTATTGTCTCTATAAGTTCATACTTTCTGGGGCCGACGAGAAAAGGGAATTTCGCCTTAACGTAAGCAGAGCGATGATCTCAAACTGTTGGATACGCAGGTTCTGTAACGGCACACAGTGGATCGAGCCAATTAGAGAAGTCAGACATGAAGTTTTTGACTAAAACTGTAAATTTTGGTGTTTATTTCGTCACATTTTACATTTCAAGGAGTGCTTTTATAGGGAAATTTTACGAGGAAACCATAATGAGGTCACTTTTAGAACATCAAAGTTTTGTATAAACGGAGTTGTAAGCGTTTTAAAGTTTTCAAATTTCGTCCGACCTCTCATTGACTCTATCCACTGTGCGGCACTTCATCGTCTCGTCCTTGCTCAAGATCACTTCACATACTCCAATGAAGAGAGAGGGGACTGGGGGTGGCGTTCGTTGCTCCAACAGGCTCGGGGTTTCGTGGGGCTCCAGTGGCCCGATTTCGGAGAGCACGCCCCGCTTTGTATGTTACGTGGGTGTAATGACACCAACCAGTAAACATCCTCTACTTCGGCTTGTGTTACGTGGGTTTAATGACAAAACCTCCCCTCCTCTCACCTTCATTTCTCCCTGCCATGCCCTCCAAGTGACAGCATCCCATTTTCGTGAGATAATCCGTGTTATTCCGACCTCGGAGTATGGTATTTTGACCCGGGAGGCTATTTTCCCAAGGCGCCTAACACTCAAACTCAACGATGAATTAACAGCAGAGTTAACGATACGTTAAATTTGTATTCTACTCTTCTTTTTCAAATTCTCAACTTTCGCTGTATCGTTTCTATTATGGCACCAGCGAGACGGAAAGACCTAACGATCGTGTGAAAATATTGTCGTAGCCCAGCTATTTCGGTCGGTCTCTGTATTTTGCGTGGATGTTCGGAACATTTAATCTCTCTCCTCATTGTTCAATCGTTCGTTTTCTTGTTAAGCACTGTATTTCGGAATTCGGTGACGGGGTGGCGTCGTCTTATTGTGAAACCGCTTATCGTTCTAATTAGATTCAGTATTTTAGCTTCGGTAATTTCACTAAGAATATAATTGGAAAATTTTGTTTCTCTAAAAATGATTAAGGCGCTGGGTGCAGGAAGGACATTTCTTGCGATTGCGATGTCTCACAATCTCCGCTAATGCTTCATTTATTATAATTAAAGCTAATTGTGTGAATTTCGCTGAAACTTGAACTAAATTTTCCTTTTGATTTTACTATGCTGAAAACGGAAAATTTCAGAAATTTCACTGAATAGTTTCCTATCTAAAATATAAATTAGCAGTCGAGGTCTTAAAACACGCGGTATTTAAGAAATGCCCCTTCTGCACCCAACGGCTCAATTAATCCATTTTCAATCTATATAAGCATGTTCATTTCCTTTTTCTTCATTAATTCACAAGTACATATGTATTTGATTAAGTATTTTAACCTTTCAACGTCATTGAAACTTTGGGTATGTCTCTGATGGGGAAAAAACAGAACGCTCTTTCGTCAGCATTTCAGCACACAAAGAGAGGTTAGTACACAGAAAAGTGAAAAAGATCGTGAATGGCAGATTAGAGTGGGATTTGTTCTCCCGTTGCTTATCAGGAACTTATAAATTATGGATTTTGTGCAAATTTTTAGGCAACGGCTAATCAAACACTCCTGTTTCTATGAGAATAAATGGAAGAGGAATAAGAAGTTTTTGTATGCTAATCATTGTTGTTGAAAAATGAAGTGACTGGAAAGGGATTAGTTTTTAAGCAGGACGTTTGGCTGAAACCACCAGGATATAAGAAGGTCTTGCCCTTTCCAACAGTTTTTGCTCCACAAATTCGGAGGGCTCCATAATATCTGTTTTATTTTTTCCATTACTTGATTGAAAACTTGATGGTTCATCGCTGGGACTCAAAGTTTATTACCTTCGCTGAACTAATTTTATGAGGAGTCACAAGACAAAGTTAAAATTCTCCGTCTACTTCCCAGTTTCCCCTACGTGTTTGGCCAAGGAATGCCATCAACCAAAGCTCAGTCGTGAGAATTTCAGTGCTTTGAAGCTAGCGCGACGGTATGAAAATGTGACCTCAAGGAAGTTTGAGAGTAGGTTCAGAATTCTTGGAGCACATTTAGGGTAGGTACATGAACAGGTTGCCAAGTCCTACCAGACTTGTTTCAATTTAGAAACGAGTTCCATGCAGTGAATAGTGAATTTAAATTCAGTTCGGGACTTGGTTGCTCAAATGCATTCTTATCGGTGCACATTGTCTTGTTGGAACCGATAAACTTCGATGAAGTCGGTATCGTCAAAGATGATCGGCTCTTTCGGAGCTGTATAATTTATGTGTCTGTGCAATAAAGGTAAAATAGGTCATTTTCGACCTATCACGATTTTTGTATCGTTATTTTCCCGAAAAATCATGTAAAACACAAGTAAGGATATTTTCCAACTAGGAGATAGTAGGATTCACCGTGTTTACTTCAATATCTGTCGTATCCGACAAAAATTTACTGAATTGTCAACGTTATAACTCTCCATTGCTGAATGTATCGTTCATAAACTGTCATATTCTCCCGTCCACTCTCGGAGAAATTTAGTCAAAGATGCATCATTTGAAAACATATGCAGCCCTCTTAACTTTTGTACTGTAAATTAACCCGCATTGAGCAGCTAGGGGTCACCTTTCTTGGTGAGAGAGAGAATAATAGAGTTCAATACACATCCCGAAACCAAATTCAGCGCTACAACTCCACAATTTTACCAAATGTAGCTTAACATTTCAAAGTACTGCAGAACAAACCCACCAGCAATTGATGTTAACACAATCAATCTTATCAATTTCCCAGTTGAGAAATGTCCTCACTTATGTTTTACAAAATTTTCAACCACCTCTAAGTCACTTTTTGCCATATGCAATGGACGTAGCAGCTTCTGCGGATGATGCTCTGAGAAATTTTGGACCCGTGCGGAGAAGAGGTGGGTTGAGTAAAATTCTCTTTCGCCGAGTTTTACAAAACCAAATTTAAAAATCTATAGCGCGTTGGAAAGCTAAGAAAAAGGGCTTATTAACGCTTTTCGCTGATTTTCTCTCTCTATCTTAGTTAAAGAGATATTTAATAGGTAAACTTACTTTTCGGACGATCCGCGTAAAATAAAGTTACAGAAGTCAACTTGTGAGAGTCGCGTCAC